TAAGATTGCTAGCCTTCAAACAACGAATCGTCTTCTTTTTCCAATATTCAATGAAACGTCAAAACTTCCGCGCTTCGCATGGGAGGGGAAAAACTCCCCCCCCCCCCCCCCCCCCTCCTCTCTCTAGCTCTGCAACCACCCCCTCTACGCGGCTTGATAATTGCAGTCTCGTTTACATTCTAACAGCGTCACAAGACGGTTGGCCCGCATGACGGAATCTTGAAATAGCAGATATGGCGGTCTCGCTATCCTTAATAGTCTCACAATTTGTATCAGTAACTGACCTAAAATAATGGAATGGCCGATGTCGGTCTCGCGGACCAGGGCCCTGTTTCATGAAACTTGATATCATTAACAACACTATGAACGTGACTGACAAAGAAAGCGGACAGAATATACAGTTCCTCAGGTAGACAAAAGAACATCCCTCCACTGCTATTATGTAAAAATGTGTAGAACAGGTGCCACATGCATATTCACCTGTTCTACACATCTATATCGCCGCGGGGGGTCCAACACGGGCCAAAACGGTTCCTCAAAAACGTCTTTCCCCGACCCCGCCCGCCTCCGCCTTGGCGCGGGGAAGGCGGCACAATTCCACGAGGCCTGTCTCCCGTAACCCGCGTGCCACGTCGACCCCGCGATCGACGTCCACGCCGTAAAACGCGGTTTCGGGGTGCCGGGGAGGACGGGCGGACGAGAGCACGGCGGGCGTCGCGGATTGCGAGGAGGCGACGAACCCGCGAGAGCGAGTCGGCAAGGCGTGCACCCGCCCTCTGCATGTCTAATCAAAGAGAGACGAAGAGACACACGATGGACGAGAATCAACTCGCGTCAACGGGTGTAGCAAATCTAATTGCAATGGGTGCGGCGTTCCCTGAATAAAGCATCTTACAATAAGATATCCTTTGTAGACCAGGCGCCCATAGTACGTGTATTACATGCTCTCAGATCAGGTCACACACATGCACACAGTACAGTCGATTCGAGTCAAGGTATTGCTACAGCTGGCCCAAACCATGGACATATTTTCACGTAAAATCTTTACTCTGAAAATAATTATACAAATTCTGTGATCTTTGCCAACATAATCATAGTCCAAGCTTCTGTTTTATTGGTCTTTTCATGAAAACTACATCGAAATCACAACAAGAATATCGCAAATAGATCTGTGATAGTACGCCTTCACGTGACTGACAGTTCAGTTGCAAACTGCCTTGAGTCAACAGTGTATTGCCACCGCAGCTGAGCGCCGCTGTCGGTGGTGCTGTCGGAGCTGAGTGTGTGAGCATGGAGTAGCCGTGACCGGAGTAGCCAGGCCTGTCCGTGGTGTGAGGAGAGTCTAAACAACACTTTGAAATTGCTATTATTGCCCCGATTTCAATATAGTTTCGTGAATAGATGTATGAAACCTGGGCTTAGATTGTGATTATTCTGGCCATGTATAGTTGTATACTGAATTTCGATAATCATTTTTCAAAGTAAAGTTTTCACAAGAAAATCAGACGGTCGTCATGGTCATTTAAAAACATGATAATACTTTTAGTATGATACAGTTCTTGCATCAAATCAATTTTTAAAGCATTGGGGGGGGGGGGGGTCAGGTAACTCAAAGCGATTTGAGTGCAGGCGTGGTGTCCACGGGTACAAAGGGCTGAACCCCCGAAAGCTCAGGGGTTTTAGGCATTTAATTACGGTCAGATGAGCATATTTTTAATAACTTATTTGTGACACTGGCAGGTCGATCAATTGGCGTGGGGTCCATAGTAGAGTTGCGTACCAACTACGCTGAGCTGAGAGTACGCTGGCTATGTTACTATACCCTGAGGGACGCAAAAAAGTACGCAAGATGGACGCAAACAATTTAATATGTTTAACAAAATTCGCGTACTTTCGGCGTAGAAACTTGACGCAGAAAGTACGCCTTTTTTTACGTAACACTACGCTACTAAATTAAACAAACTGCATCTTTAAATGAATTAATGAAAAATTAGCCCAAGAAAAATGAGCCCCCGAAACATAAAAAAGTAGCCCCCAAAATTTTTCCCAAAATTTGATATAGATCGAGTCCCCGAAAAAAAAATCTTTCACTGGATTCTACGCTTACAGTCCCACACACAGTCGAGTCAATTTGTGCACAAACCGTCCGATTTTTCGCGTAAAATCTTTACTTTGAAAATAATTATACACATTTTGTGAACAATGCCAACATATTAAATCATAATCCAAGCCTCTGCATATGTAGTCTTTTCATGAAACTACATTGAAATCACAACAATAATAATGCAAATAAATCGTAATTATCGAGATCCTATCTGACATAGTTTGTTTTACTATGCGCCATTCATGGTCAAACACCATATATTATAAAAATTCTCTATATATATATATATAAAGATAATCTAATTTTTTTTTTTTTGGATAGCACAAAGGCCTCTATCTATCTATCTATTTGGCCCCCTCCCCTAGAATCCCGTGGATTTTCCACGGGTCCTGCTAGTTTTTACATAATAGCAGTGAGGGATGTTCCTTTGTCTACCTGAGAAACTGTATATTTTGTCCGCTTTCTTTGTCAGTCACGTTCATAGTGCAAGTTACAAGCTGTTATAAGCTACTGAAATCATGGCATCTGATTGGCTGAGAGCAGATTTGTAATAGAAACTAAGCACTCCTGACGACGGATAATCACCTGTTCGAAACGTCGAGCCGCTTATCCTCTCCAAGCGCTATAGTTCTCCTTAGAACTATATGCTAAGAAAGATAACAAACAATCCTTTTCAGGACTACCACACCCCCAAGAAAGATTACTGAGTCAGAGTCCTTTTCAGGACTCCTCAACCCTCTTTCTCTCTCTCTCTCTCTCACATGGTGCACCCGCAAATCTACTGTATAGAAACTAAGCAGTTGTTATAGATAACAAGTTCTATGAAACGGGCTACTGACACCCTTTGCAAACTCTTCTGAGTTTTCGTGAGACAGACAGCGTCGCAGGTTTGTCGGTTTCTTCGGACGCCGAGCGAATGGGATGTCACTGGAACCCTATCATTATTGTTAATATAAAAGAGGTCTTTGTAAAAAAAAAAAAAAAAAAAAAACATTGCAATTACAATATATACCCAATACAAATGTTATACTATTTTGTCTCCACATACAGGTATTTGATAACGGATTTGTAAGTTTCAATGAGATAGCGAAAGGAGTCCTGTCACAAAATCTAAATCTTCGTCCTCTCCGACGCAATGTAGATATCAGAATCGACGGCGATGTCTATTTCAGGTGCTGTATTACATTTGGACTTGATTAGATCTTATTGGTCATGTAGAGGTGATGTTAGTTTCCACTTAAAACTTTCGTTATATGATTAAAACCAATGAAGTTCAACGTCAAAAAAGAAATTGCTCATCAAAGATGCAACACGAAATGGAAGAAAGCAGGGATATAAAGAGAGGTTAAAAGAAATTCAGATATACTATTCGAGAGAGAGAGAAAGAGAGAGAGAGGGGGTGAAGGGGTCTAGACACTCAATACTTTTTTTTTCAAAATTCTCCTCCCTCTTTTTTCTTTTTTTCTTTTTCTTTCTTCTCTTTTCTCTCCTTTCTTTCCTTTCTTTTCCCTTCTTTTCTTTCTTTTCTTTTCTTTCTTTTCTTTTCTCTCCTTTCTCTCCTTTCTTTTCCCTTCTTTTCTTTCTTTTCTTTTCTTTCTTTTCTTTTCCTTTTTTTTTTTTTTTTACTTTCTTTCCCTTTCCCTCTCTTTTTTTTTCCCTCCCCCTTTTTTCTTTTTTTCCGACGGCAGCGCAATTTTACCGACAATATAAATAAATCGTTACATAAAAATTAAAAAATATGAGGGAAAATAATCATACTGCAGTTTATAATAAACATTTTTTTTTTAGACAGCAATAAAAGAATCATTAAAAGACCCAAATCACCATTTTGACAATGCCTGAAAAGTAAGTTGACATCCATTTTTAAAATTACGAAACAACGTGCATAATGTTAAGACCTTCTCTTTCATTAAATTAATAAATGTTTCTAAATATCCTTACAAGATTTCCTATACGGCCGTTGTTTTTAGTTTTTTTAAAGACTAATTGGCAACGGACTAAATCGTATTTGGGAAATTGGCATCAATTAAAATTAATCTTAAGTCCGCATTCAGTTTCCTTTTCCCATCAAATATAATTTGCTTAAAGGCCCTCTGCACTACTTGTAGCTACTTGCGCCCTCTATATAACAAACAATGCCTAATCGGTGACCATTGGTCCCCCATAATCCACTTTTTCTTGTGTGAACTGAGAGCTGAGTTGATGAGATAACCACCTGTCCAGTGACCTTGCAGGGCACTCTAATCCCTCCTGTAAACTACGGCAGATAAGCTTTAATATACTCTTCTTAGTGGTTTTTGTACATTATTTTAAACATTATATTATGCATTAATTTTTCTTCTGGGCAAATTCTCATTCTTTTCTTGGACATCTACCATGCAAAAATAAATTTCAGTGTTATATCCCATAAAAGACATCATCTTCAAGATCATTCATTTAGTAGTCATGGTAATCTGTCCTCAAACATGTAAAATTGATACTGACATTTTCTGACAAGGAAGAAATATTCAAATATTGTTTTATTGGCAAACAAATCTGCATTCGAATCCGTAAGGGGTACGAGGCATGAGGTGGCGGGGCGGAGAAGATTTTTTTTTTAATACTAGGTTCGGAATCAAGATAGTAGTGAAGTGTATCTTTATGGTGAAATAAGATTTGTTACCAAATAAAGTATCTTTTTAACTTTGCTCTCTTGGGTCGCTGGCAAACTTTAGAAATAGACAAGTCAATACTGTCGTCGTCGCCCCCCCCCCCCCCCACCACCCCTAGCGGTTAAAATGTGCCTGTACCCCAGTAAATCCGCTGTGATTTCTATTTCTTTTGCATTGATTGTATTTGTTTTCAATCTTGATATCGCTTTGTATTACATATGGAATAACTCGCTTTGTTAAAAAAAAAAATTGTGACATTCATGAACCTGCAGGACATCAGATCAAGGAACTGACCAAACAACATTCAGTAAAGCTGAGCGTGCAATTCGAAGAGCTACACCAGAGTTTCTCGGCCGTTCTTTACTCACAACTGTTGTTGTTTCATGGATAGAAGTACCTGCATTCAGTTTCGGGTCCTCACAACGGGTTCGTACAAAATGTTTTCTCATTCCTAGAAATCAATCAAGATAGAAATAAAACCATAGAGTGGCGTCCTGAAAAATAAAACCAATTCTTTTATGTTCCCCTTTTTTTATATGGTGTCCAGAGAAGTACGTTTCAAGTACTAATCGGAACAGATGGCGAGCTGACTTACGTTATCTTTAACTATGCGAACATCGAGTGGGACGTCTACCGTGTAAGTTATAGTGGCAACACAAACAAAACAAAATAGTAAACAAACAATCGAACAACCAATCTAAGAAACCTAAAAAAAATGAACGAATACAATATATTATTTTAATTTATTTCAGAATACGTAACGTAACATCTTTTCTATGATACCCTAAAAATGGTAATTTACATGTAATCATTTTTATATTTTCTTTCTTCCCACATTGAAGGAGATATTTAACATCAATCTATCCTTAACATATTGGGAAGTTACATATATATTTGCATTTGACCATCAACGGTTAATTAAAAGAACCTAGATACATGTCTTCTATTTTAAGTTTCAAGAAGCTTAGTTTTTCACAACTGATGTTAAAATGTTAAAAGGGACTATTAATTTTTTATAGAGCAAGTTGTATGACATTGAGTTATTAGGAGTTGGTCTTAAAAGAATGCTTTGATTTTTCAATAAGATGACTTATAACAAATCAAAGGTATAGGCCTAAAGATTGCTTCTGACGTTTAAAATGCCATATATAATTTTTAAAAGCTGTTACTACTCATTTCTAGGAAATTTTGAATTAACACTAAAGATTGTAGGATCTCTTTCAAATCTTGCAAATTACATGATGTTATTTAATGGATAATAGAAGGAATTCCAGCAATACTTATTGTTATCAATGTCCCCATCATTTACACCATCGTCATAATGTTCATTATCACCTTCATTACCATCATCATTATCACCATAATCATAATATTCTTCACCATCACCATAACCATCATCATCACATTCATCATCATCATCACCATCGTAATTATCATCATCATCATTTAACACGAACATCATCATTATCTTCATCACTATCATCATCATCACCAATATCACCACCAATGTCATTACCAACATAATCACCATCTCATCATCATCATCATTATTATTATCATCTTTATCAAGGCTGGAATAACTGATAGCGATGGCAACCAGTTAGTTGACCTCTCCGACATCGATCTGTTATCAACTAGTAACTATGGAGTGCCAGGAAGTAGGATATTCGAAATTTCAGATGCAGTGCGTGAGATAGGGAAAGGTACATTATTTTACGTAGTAATGTTATATCAGACTATTATAAATTATAACATCTAGTCTTTATCGTTTAGTACGCATTGGGGCTAAGTCCAAAAATATCCGTACAAAATATTTGAATATGTTGAATTGACTGAGTAACGTTTTACACTGATCGTCTAGACGGGTAAATTTTGAGCACATAGAAAATCAGTTAAGTGACTATCTGTGGCGGGAATTTTCTGTGGCAAGAAAGGCACAAATACAAGTAAGAGGTTAGATTGAGAGGCTGTCTGTCGTTATTTGCATCTTGTGAGCAGAATACAACTCTATCCGCCTCCGTTGCCTAGTGGTAAAACAATTGTGCGTATAGTCAAAGGCCAGGGCTCGATTCCAGTGTAGGACAAGCTTTCGCAAGCTTTGTAGTAATTTCCACAAAAAGGAAGCATTAATTTTTTGTGTGTCATCCAGTTTATTTCTCACTGTATATGTATATATATATATATATATATATATATATATTAATTATTTATTTATATATTCGTACGGGGTAGCCCATTCAACATCAGTTGGTCTCCCATGGGGCCCCTAAAAACATACATCCAGGAATGCAACACAATATGTTAAAATAAAATCATTCAAAATACATACACAATAATGCCAAGTAAATAGTTTAAAAATAGCATGTAAAAACATTGAAATATATCAAGGTGAATGTTTGCAATATAGAATAATCAAATATTTAAAGTACAATACCGAGTAACAGAAAATATTGATATTTAAAAAAAAATATGAAACAGACTATTGGTGAGTAATTAGGTGCCATAGAATCCCTTATACGTCCAATGACTTGAGATAATGTTTAAGATTAAGTTTGAGAGATACCAAAGACGGCAACTCCCGTATAATAACTGGCAAATTATTCCATATAAAGAGTGTTCGTAGTACTCAGTGCGGCATTTGGGAACGACAAGATCGTGTCTGGTCGCTTGCCTCGTATTTTTATCATGTTTTCTACTTAACTCTTGGAAATAATTTGAGTAGTAATCAGGAGAGAAGCCTTGACAGCATTTATAAACAAATATATATCGGAAATAAGTTATTCGATATCTGAACACAAATGGAAACTGATTTTATTGTGAACAACTGCGTTTTCTATTTCTTTCCAACAGTTCAATGTCAAACGTCCAACCCTTGTCAGAATGGAGGAACGTGTACGGATGATGAATGCTTTTGCGCCGAGGGTTTCCGCGGAAATTTCTGTCATTTAGGTAAAAAAAAGAAGAAAGTCATATCAGTTCTGTATTGTCACAAATTCTGCGACTCAAGATAGGGGTATCGTTAAAAAAGACATAATGTGGTGTTAAGTTACTCCATTCGCATATCTGTTGGCAAACTCTACTGTTTGTAACTGTTACAAGCTCATTAAATTGGCTATAACCATTCAGATGCTGCTTCGTACATTTAAACGCATATTTTGATGAAAGGAGGATTTTACTTTACAATTATATATTAATTCGTTTCGAATTATACAGAACTAATCAAGTTTAACATAATTAAATTAGATATAACAAATGAAAGCAATTGATACTTGGGCTTTAAACTTAGTGGACTGCGGGAAAGTTACCTGTATGAATTTGGCATCCTGTCACATTGACCAATGTCATTACATATTTGGATTCACAAATTCTCTGTGTGAACATAGTACTAATTTCCTATACCGAGTACTATTTTCTATACCTATAGTAAAGCTAATCCTGTAATGGCGTAGTGCTTATAGCTGAAGAAACATGTATTATTTTACGATTATTTGATATTAATTTTTTGTTAATAAGGATCATTAATTAATATGACGATAGCTGAAAGTATTGATTTCTTACATTCTTGTATGTATATAGAATTTGTAAACGGACTGTCTCCGGCCTTTTTATTCAGCATTTTTTTTTTTTTTAAATAAACCGGAATTGAATTTAGTTGAATTGAATTAGCAAGCGTTTTGTTTTCAAATCAGGGTATGGGTAAACAATTTTTTTTTTATTCATTATCATTTTTTTTTTTTTTTTTTTTTTTTTGGGGGGGGGGGGGGGAGTAAATCGCACTCTTTTGCTCTTCTGTCATAAAACAGGAAAACAATGTTTCCTATAAGAACACGCGCCATGACCACATTGATATCTTAAACAACAAGAAAGAAAAATAGCAACAGCAACAGCAAATCTAACTTGAACTCTAAGTGACATAAGACATTGTTTTATAAGTTGGTCTTTCGTTTCTACATTCTGGTGCCACATCATTTAATGGAGCAACTGTTGTCTCTGATTGTTTTCAGATGAATGTGATAACCTTTGTCTTAATGGAGGGAGCTGTGAGGGAGAAGACCTTTGCACGTGTGCAGCAGGATTTGCTGGCAAGATGTGTCAAGATAAGCGTAAGTATTTTGAATATGTGTTTGTATTCCGACGAGTTCATCGGGATTTAGTCAGGATATTTGAACAACCCGTCTGCATGTATACTCACGCACACCCTCAACCACACACCCTAATCAATTACGGCAATTTTTGATTCTGACACTTGAGATAAAATGAAAAGGGTGACGTAATTGATGTTTTCTTTGCTCTTGACAATTTTCTTATACCAGTGACATCTGTTGAATGTGGAAGTAGTTCAATGACCGTCAAAATAGATGAACAGCTAGTCCTAGGTAACGCATCTGGTGTTCATTTCCGAGACCAATCCTGCTCCGGTGTAAACAGCTCTAGCACCGACATCACTCTCTCTACAGGCTACGATCAATGTGGCACCACCTTTGAGGTATGACTCCTTAAATGATAACTGGTATCATTGGCGGGTGCAGGATTTGTGAGGAGGAGGCTTAAACATTATGTTTTGGGTCCCAGTAGAGCGCAGCCCCTAACGGTGTTGGGTGCAGGGGTAGAGCCTCAGTATGATTTTAAGTTCGCCGCGACAGCCATGACATGCTGGCATAAATACAATCTGTTTACTTTTATTCCAAATAACGATATATTTGCTATTCTTTTAAGTGCCGATAGTCAAAGTCCGGATCTTGCTCTGCATCCGATTCCGCCGTGTCGTTTCTGTGTCTTTTTTCTTCATAAACTTAGGAAATATCCTAACACGGTAATAATATTGTTGTTCGACATATCATTCCGCTTCAATGGCACTTGACATTAAAATCAATTATGAAAATGAATTCGATGCACAGAGAACATTTATTTCTCCATTTCACATCACATTAAACAACAACATTAAGGGCAGATACGAATATAGCATTGAGTTATTATCAATGATATAAATATTCATGAAATTGACATGATTTACTCACCTTTTAGCCAATTATATCAAATGACAACTGAAAGCACATTTTTACCCTTTTTTTAAATTTCGGCCTTTTCGGGCATATCAATTTTAGGTCCTATGTGATCACTCTCGATTTTGTCATCTTTATAATCTGGTATAGAACACGTTTTTTAATTGGTTTTTGTTCAAACTTTATGGAAGAAACACTTTTTTTTAATTACAGAAATGTTATGAGCACAGATAAAAGCACAGTACATGTATATACAAATTTGTAGAAAGTAATTTATTGGATGTCAATTCTATCTCACTCTATCCATAATAATGTGCTTACATATACTTATTTTTTTCGAACTGGATACGGGATTTCATTTTTTTCCGTAACATTATTTATTTTATATTACTTGGTGTCATGACAGGAGGATAACACAACTATTACCTTCACCAACGTGATCACTTACGCCAAGCCTGGTTCGGAAGACGGTACAGTGATCACCCGTGAATATCACATGCAGGTTCGGGTTGAATGTTGCCTCAAGAAAGAGGAAATCGTCAGTGGATCCTTCAGACCACAGCTTGGTGAGGTGTCCTTTAGCGACAAGGGCTCTGGTGACTTCAGTCTGAGACTCGAAAGGTTCCAGACAAATGCTTTTGGTGATCTGGAAGTTGACCCCACCTCTGCTGTCTGGCAACAAGATGAGCTCTTCTTTGCTGTGGGTCTTGAGTCGGTACCAGGCGTTGGTATGTTTATTGAAAGCTGCTGGGCGACAACCACTCAAGACTCGGATATGGCTCCACAATACTCTCTAATTTCTTCAGGGTTAGTAGAAATCATATAACGATGGTATAGTGGTTCATTCACTTGACTGCAAATCCGAGGGTTGGGGGTTCCAATCCAAGTCCGGGACTTAAATCTTTTGGCAAGAAATTTATCCACATTTTCTACCCTCCACCCACGTGCAAATGAGTAACTGGTTTGCTGCTGGGTTAATAATAATTTCAAGGCTCTCAGGAAAATCGGCATTGATGCTGATGAGGCTTCTCGGCTTACTTCGTTCCGTTGGATGTTAACGTCGGTCGTGTTGTTGGGTTACACAAACTCTCTTGATTACTTACCCTACATAATCACGAAAGGTTGTGTGCTTCATGTTGTCAGGTTACACAATACTTTGTAAAAAATATGCCCAAATATTCACTAAAGAATTGGTAAATTGAATGCAAATATTTTAAAAATTCTTCAAAGATGCTCTTCGCGATACGGATATAGAATACAATGAATATTAGTTGCAATAATATTCAGACCTGACTGGTTGCCAAACAAAATTAATAAGAGCAACAACATTTGTGAAAAGATCTTTGTCCAATAACGAATTGTCGACCACTAGCCTTATGTTAAAGTATGTATCTCTTATTAAAAATGTTGGGCCACATGAGTTTTCTTAGATTTGCTGTAGGTTTTTCAGAAAGTGTCTGGTAAACTGGACCTATCAAATTCAAATTCAAATTCAAAGTTTATTCAACACTCTTTATAAAAACATTTAAAACATACAAATAGAGAATGGAATGACAAAGAAAATATTTAAAAGAAAGAGCAAGATAGTGATAAAAGCTACAATGGCAATTTATGAGAGCATTTGGGATAAGCAGACAGGAGGGATTCCTTATATGAAAGCCTACCCCTCCTCAACACATACATAAAGGGAAAGAAAAAAGTGGGAAAAGAGAACATACTATCATGTACGACCAATGTAAAAATCACTAAAAAAAGTGTCAAAGTTGCCCATGCTGCTCCACTTATTATTATACTTATTTAACAAAAAATATTTATAATTCATTTTGAAAAGATGGAGAGCTTTGCATTTTCTAATTTCCAGAGGTATACTATTTTATATTACTTTGGCGTTGAGAGGGTACTATTTCACAAACTTTAACCTGACCTTTGGGGAATCAGGACTGGATTTTTCATGAAAGACGCAAAGAACCGATGGAACGAAATAAGACAGGCTACTATGGGTAAACAACATATTTAGTAGTAGTCAGTGGCGGGTCCGGGGGGGGGGGGGAACCGGTAAAAACACGTTAATTTGACCTTTATTTGGAGACGGGCCCCCTTCCCTGGTGCCCAAGGGGGGGTGCGATGTTAAAATTTTCGAGGGCAAAAAAAAAAGAGATTAGTGCTCACTACCACCACCCCCCCCCCAGTAGTAATAGTAGTAGTATATAGAAATAGTAATCGTGATCATAGTATTGTACACAATTTAGATGTTATTATTATAAGAATTGTTATTATTATTATTATTGTTATTATTATCATTATTATTGCTACTTTTAGTCTTATTCTTCTTTTTTTAAAGAATTTCGTGATTCCCTATATACCAGTTCTCCCACGGCTATGACTCCTCTTAACTCGAGTACATGTTTCAATTGGTTCTACAGTTGCCCAGATGATGGAACAGTTGATATCTATCGTCTCCTTGGATTGAATCGAGAAGGCTTTTCTTTTAAGGCATTTGCCTTTGTTGGAGATAAGACTGAGGTAAAAAATTTACACGGCATGAAACTTATACACCTAATTTTATTTCAATTTTGTTTGCCCATTTCTTGAGTATATTACAAGAGAAACAAGACTGTTAAATCACGCTTTTAGTTAAGTCATGTCTGCCTTTCTCTCTGTAGTTCAGTAATTACCTACGTATATAGAATGGCAACTAGGTGCAACGAAGGTCTTGAACGCATTCACTGAGCTCTATGGTATAAGATATAGAAACTTGAATCGTATTACACTTTACGTCATCTTTTTTTTAAAGTGCATATTTGAACAAGATTTTATTTTAATTTTTTTTTCTTTGATCATAATTGCCTATCTCGAAGGGGGAGTCCACCCTGATATTACGTTGGTTGTAATCAAAGCGGAAAATGACAGAAACAAATTAGTGAAAGTTTGAGCAAAGTCCGATTAAGAATAGAAAAGTTATGAAATTTCTAAAGTTGTCATCAGTGGAACACAAATTTGCAACACTGTAAGGTACCTTGCGAGCTCCTCTCCATTTTGCTCTATACAGAAAATGTCATAAACTGTCACTTTCTTAGTTATTGATGACGGATTAGACATTTCCATACAGGGGTTGTATACAAAACAAAATTGCGAATAGGCCTAATCATATTTAGGGTGAATGTATGTATGAACATTTTCTGAAGATAAATATAGATTTCTAAAGTTTCTTAGCACAGGGCAAATGGGAGGGGACGTCACTAGATACGTCACAGAGAAGCCAATTCATTTTTGATTGACTGGACCTTCAAAAATACATTATTTTCTTATTTTTAATTGGTTATGGCTTAAACTTTCACCGACCGGATTCTCTAATTTGTTCTGCTTCTATCAAAACCAACTTAATATCAGGCTGTCTTCCCCTTTAAAAATTAGGGCAACTTTGAAAGCACATGTGCTTGGACGTCTCGATACTATTTTAAAGAGTATCTTAATGCATGCATCATCATATATTTTTCTTAGGTATACATTCACTGTTCAGTGAAGGTCTGTGGTACCGTGGAGGCTCAGTCGTTTCGAGACGCAGGATGCCCCTCAGAATCTCCACCTCCCGACCGCAAACGTCGATCTTCGTCCTTTATGTCCACTCATACAATCATTAATGGTCCGATTCACATCCGTCGCTCAACTAGCGATATGGCTTCTAATGGTAAGTACTATTTGTAACAGCAACCAGTACAAACAAAACGAAAACGTTATCCTTATAGATAACTAAGCGCACTAAGTTATGGTAATCCTTTACAGGAAAAATAATGATTGGAATATCTGGAAATATACCATTAACAGATGCTCATTTCTATTTTCTACTAAAAGGGGGAGGGGAGGAGAAGAATAAGGAGGAGGGGAAGGGTCATTCCCTACTGCCATGGACACGCATGCGATTACATCTAATCCACATTCAATAATTGTTATACCATATTTTATCTTTTCCAATTACCACAGATTTGTCTTCCTACAACCCATTTGCGACGATCCTCCTTGGAATGTTAGCAACATTGGTTGCTATGGCAATCCTGATGGGTTTGGTCAAGCTTGTCCGCATCTCAACCGATATCAACTATCAGCGAGTTCCTATTGAAGGAATTTAAAAAGGGTCTTAGAATGGAAAATATTCTCCAACTGTATCGAAACAGGACATCCCACAAAGTGATCTAAATCGTACAAACAGGGCCACTTACTACACTCAACAAAAGAAGAAAAAAAGGGACACTCTCTTTTATTCAAAATGTTCATGGATACTGTCAATAAAATGTAATACAAGAAATAATATTGATGACAAATGAATACTCTACCAACAGGAAATATTTGAAAAACTTAACTATAAATTGCGTTCATTTTTTGGTTAATGAGTGTATAACTACTACTACTGCTTCTACTAATACTAATAAAATAATAATAATAAACTTTATTGAAATTGAAAGAGGGGGAGGGGCGTAGACGACCATCTTTTTTCTTCCGTGCCCCTCATGAAAATAATTGTGGTCACGTTTTCTCGGGGAAAATAGTTTCGAACTAGACCATCTCATGGCATCTTTGTATATTGTAGACAGGCGCGTACGCAGGGGGGGGGGGGGTGGGGTTAATCCCCCCTTGAACTTTTTTGATGTGTATATTTTGGAGGAACCCCCCCCCCCTTTTTTTCTGTGTAAAAAAAATTAAATTCAGCGGCTGGTTGAGTCGTTGCGAAATTTTTGGGATCAAAACAAAAAAAGGTGTCCTCTTACCCCCCTCACCCCTGCAATTACCCCCTAGGACAACCCCCCTCCCCCCCCCCCCCCCCCCATCCACCAGGTCAACCAAGGACAATTATCCCGGGGAGCATTCAGTATCAGCATTTGTATATGACCTGCAGAAAGGACATTTACCACATTCGTTAAAGGATTACTTTGTTTTAATGAATCACATGTATAGAACAAGAGGGAGGGAACATTTAATGCTACGATTACCTAAATGTAGTACGACACATGGGACTTTTTCAATTTAATTCATTGGAGCAAAGCTGTGGAATAATTTGCCCATAAACATAAGAGAAGAAAAACAAGATCATCATTTCGTAAAAATCTCAGATTAAACTCTTCAGCAGAGATGAATCATAAGGATCAAATAAAATGCTATTAAGTCAAAATAAATGTTCCTGCTTAAATGTTGAGTGTGAATACATAATATGACTTTGCATAGTTTTAGAAACTTGGAGAACCAATCCCGACTAGCACTTGTGCTAAGTTATGTCTAATTCACAGGTTAGGAATGACACGATATGATGAATATTGTACATATGGTTCTACTTTTCTTTCTTTTTCTTTGTAACTCATGTATGGATATGTATACGGCATCAACTGTTTAATTTTTGTGATATGTAACCCACTTGAATACATTTGTAGCATTGTATTTCAATACAAAAAAGCACATTCACAAGTAAATAGTTACGTATATAAATTACTAAATAAATAAAGGTAAAGTAAAAGATATCGAAACGAAGATAAATGATATTCATGATGTTTCTTTATTCATTATTCAACCTTATATTGAGATAAGAGTAATAATAATAATAATAATAAATTACATTTATATAGCGCTTAATACAAAGTTTCTAAGCGCTTAACAAAAAATGAAATTAAAGTAATGTTAACTTACAAATTACAAGAATATAATACATGATACATAATTATAATAACAAATTCTTAATAACAATAATACAATAATAATAGTTAATATTTACATAAAGCTTTATAGTTAAACAAACAAAATATGATTACATTACATATTAAACAGATAAGTCTTAAGTTTACTTTTGAATGTCTCTAAGGTTGGGGACTCGCGTATTTCATGGGGAAGATTGTTCCAAAGTTGGGGGGCACAGACAGAAAAGGCACGATTTCCATAGCGGGTGTGGGTGCGAGGGCCTGGGGCAAGATGAAGATGTGCTGTGGATGACGATCTGAGACGCATAGATGAAGTACGAGTTTTAGGAGTGATGAGTGCCGAGAGATATGAGGGAGCAAGTTTGTGAAAGGCCTTGTATGTCAGCATGAGAATCTTGAATTTGATACGTTGTTGGAGGGGGAGCCAGTGTAGTGAACGAATGATCGGTGTGATGTGTTCATGTTTTCTTGTACGTGTGATGAGGCGTGCTGCTGTGTTCTGAATATGTTGAAGAGGGGCTAAATGAGAGCTAGGGAGATTGATTAATAGTCCATTACAGTAATCAAGGTGGGAAGTTACAAGGGCATTAACAAGACGATGAGTAGAACTTTGATCCAGAAATTTTCGCAGTTTTCCAACTTTGTGGATCCCGAAAGCTGCGATACGACACACGTTGCGTATATGCTGGTTCACATTTAGCACGTTGTCCACCGTTATCCCGAGTCCATAATAAGACAAAAACGAATCAAATGAAAGCAACTCGATTCACAAACGAATGGCAATTCATTGTTTTGATGAATATACCCTACCTTTGTGAGAGAATCGATTCTAATATTGCTGGTTTTATCGTTTTACTTGGATGATAAGATTTTAGATTTAGATTTAGATAACATTTTATTTATTTGTCTCTATCGACCCCCTTCAAGAGTATGAAAACACGACATATTTACAATACAATACAGAAAGATATTTAAAAGAAAAAAAAGTAAGATATGATGATACTAAAATACATAGACATGATATATACATTTTGATATTTCTAAAACACAATAAACATGAGCTAAAGACTAAGTATACACTATACCGTTTTAAGTTATAAGTCGAAAATATCACGTAGTTTGGTTTGTCTACCACTACGAGTAACTACACTTTTATTAACAAAAATAGGACCATGCCTTTCAGCCTTAGGATCCAACGAAAAGAATTGTATTATTACTGTTATGAATTTTACGGGTTTTCTTAATTGTTTATCACTAAATCTATTAAACAATTTGCCCATGTGAAATGTTCTGGGGTTACTCACAACAAACTGTCGATCTAATTATAACTGCCTTTCTTTCTTGAAAAAGGGCAGACAAAAATATAATGAAATTCATCTCCAAAAACCTTTAAATTACAACTAGGACATTCAATTTTACTTTCTTCGGGATTACTTTCAAACCTTCCATTATTAATTGGTAAGCGGTGTGACCTGCATCGGAATCGACACAAAGTGATTGCACCTCTTCTATTCAACTTTAACAAATTCTTTTCAAAATAAATTTCGTTCTTGATAATTCGGTAGATAACCAAAATTCGATTTGACCAAACATTTGGCAGTATTTCTTGCTTTGACATGTCAGTCAACCTGAGCTTAAGAGCATGAATAATCCTGTAGGCTACACTGTAGGCTATAAAGTGGACGATGTATTATGTTAAATCTTATTTGCAACATACCACAGTATAGACAGTCTATCGAAATTATATAAAATGTACATTCAAAGGTTTTTTTTAAAAACGCGATTTCTTTATGGGTTGTTTTTAAGTTAATGGTGAAATCATATTTGGAAAGTGTAAGTAACTTTACATTTGGAAAAGAAGGTGAGCTTCAAAAAAGTGTATAAATGGTTGCTGTAAAACTTTGATTTAAAACAAAATTGTATATGTATATGTTATTGCTAATAAATACCTCGAAAGAGGATGAAAAGAAAAACAAATCTTTGTAACATTCACACATATCAATAGGTGATGGCCAAGGCTATTGAATTTGCCTTAGGTTGATTTTCTTCGAAAGCCTTTGCGATCGGATTCATTGTATGTGAGTTAATAAGAATCACAGATGTGAAGAACAAATCTTCCCTCTGTAGTGTATTTACAAATTGCAACATGACGAATAGTGAGCGGGTGAGGATCGGTGTATGTCATGAACGGGGTTCGGTCGTGATCGATGAACACGTTGAGGGCTCCCTGTTCGTACGTGACGAGGATTGACATCGTTCTGTTGCTACTCAGTCCATAAGATGGGTTGCGTTTCGAAGCTACCACACATTCAGACCTACACCGACAAATGAGATGAGCACGTCCTCCTATATCTACGAAAACAAAACAAAAAAGATAAAATAAATGCGTACTCTTGGCCAGAAGCATTAAACAAATATCGGTGTATCCAGATATTTATAAACAGAGGGGCAGGGGGCACAGTTGTGTCATTTCAAGTCGATAACCAACAGGTCCATAAACGATTCCACCGCTATACGGGAACTGGCATAATTGGGGGGGGGGGTGTTGGCGGCGGCGGCTACACAGGCTTTACTCGATGGATGAAATGAAATCAAGAGGGCCATTGGTTAAGGGAGGGTGTGGGAGGTGTCGCAATGTCTCCATTCCCTCCCGCTTTCTTTTGTTTTTCCTGGGGATTTTCGCAATTTGATTGAAGATCCTATGCCCCTCACCCCATTTCCTACGCCATTGTTTTATTTTTTTATATCGTGTCCGTTTCCAAAACCCTATCAATATGCTATGACAGGATTACGTAATGCAACACCCGAGACTGACACACCCGATCGAAGTCTCAAAATATTTGGTTGCTTAAGGATCATTCATTTTGTATGATTTATAATTAAGAAATGATACATTTTAAATAATCATTTTGATCATCTTACATATGCTGTAGAGTGGTTCATCTGCTCTGTTAAATGAGTGGTATGTAGATCGTTCTGCCAGCGCGATAAAGGTAGTGCCTACCGACTGAGTTGAAAACCCAATACTCAAATTCATGGATTTATCAGCTGGGACAGGCGGCAATTTTTCAAAAGGGTACCGCTTTCCTACAAGATTACATTGCGTAGTCCGGAGATGGATATCACCTAAAGAAATGACATGATAATGAATCGAGAATATCACCCACTCGCTCAATCAATCAATCACTGTTATATAAATGCTCTACAAAAAACAAACAAAGTATTTGCTCTGTATTATGTTCATGTCCTCCAAGTGTATAATGTAAAGTGCTAAGGGAATTATATCGTACTTATTATGCCATAATAAAACACAATACGTGGAAACGTATAAATTACCAAAACGTTCACTATTTGAAAAAGGGGCAAAGGGGGGGGGGGGTGACCATCGTGAAAGATTTCCAACTATAGAAGAAAGATTTCCCGCACATTAATCATTGTCTTAGTATTTAAAACTTCCAATCCCACCAGTTCCCTCCCACCCCCCCCCCCTTTTTTCCCCAAAAATATTTTTTTTTAAATATTTTGTTTTATTTATTTATTCGTACGGGGTAGCCCATTCAACATCAGTTGGTCTCCCATGGGGCCCCTAAAAACATACATACAGGAATGCAACACAATATGTTCAAATAAAAGCATTAAAAATACATACACAATAATGCCGCCAAGTAAATAGTTTAAAAAGATAATGTAAAAACAATGAAATATATCAAGGTGAATGTTTGCAATATAGAATAATCAAATATTTAAAGTACAATACCGAGTAACAGAAAATAAAGATATTTAAACAAATATGAAACAGACTATTGGTGAGTAATGCAACACAATATGTTCAAATAAAAGCATTAAAAATACATATACAATAATGCCGCCAAGTAAATAGTTTAAAAAGATAATGTAAAAACAATGAAATATATCAAGGTGAATGT